CACTGTGTATCTGAACAAATGAACCAACATCAAGCTTCTGTGATATCAGCCGTATGAACAGATACTTATACTTAAGCTCTATTTTAGTCAGTAAGGTTCTTCAGAGGTAAAAGAAGGTGCCTGATCAGTCTGAATCCCTAAATGTGAATTTCTTGTCACTTGAAGACATTATTTGTAGTAAATCTTGAAATATATTTCTAGGATACCTGTCTTCCAGCAAAGACATCATGCTTGTACTCAGTTTTGTTGTGACACTGGTAGAGATCTTTGTTTATGTATTGTTCCTCATCTTATGTTCCAGTGGCCTGAGTGTATATTCATTTTGGAGCCAAAATCCAAAGTTCAGTGAGTAGGTTTGGTGTGTGCAAGCACTGAAAACAGTGCTAATCAACTTAGAGCAAGTATAGAATTTTATACTTTGCAGTCTTTGTTAATTACTGCTAAAACACTGTTTGGCAGAGCAGTTATTAATCTTTTGAGGATTTGTGGATGGTGAAGAAGTGCACAAACTGTATCTCTATATAACTAGTACAAGAGCCTGATACCTAAATTCTTTTCTCAAAATGTATGGGTAGTTCTTGGATTTTCTAAGCAGTAATTATTTACATAGCCTTTCAATTTATAATTCTTTGGAGATTAAGTAGTGATGGCAAGTGGTAAATATTTGCATATTGTGAAGTCATTACCACAGAACTGTGTGATAATCTCTCAGAAAATATCAAGAATTATTTATCTATTGGACATCCAGACAGTGCTTCCTTATAGTCCAATGTGGCACAAGCTAGTATTGATCTTTTTTGTGAAAATTCGCACACCAAAATATGCTTTAAGTTTATAAGGTTCCTATTACTTTGCATGTACTTGTTTGCTTGCTGTTTATTATTGAGACCGTCTTTCAAATGAAGTGTCAGGATTTCTGCACTCACCTGCTGTTAACAACACAAACTGTTGCCTGCAATTACAATTTACCTAAGCTTGGGGGGAATATCTGAATTCATCTTTAAATTCTCTGCTGTTATATGGGGAATGTATGCAACTTACTGGCTTTTGTTCCAGTGCTAGCAGTTGCTTGTAAGTAGTTTTTTAGGTAATGAAATCCATTTTAGGATTTGATGTATTAGGTCTTTAATTAAATGTTTTAAAATAAAATCAGTGATGGAATTAGATTACTAGGATGTAAAGGTACAGAAGTCAAATAAAACCCTCTGTCAAAAGATAGGACTAATGTCTCTTTGAAGAGACATAGTCTTAAAATACCTTATTTTCAATCCAATATATGAATTAATATTAAAATTATGTTGATGTATTGATCTGATTACAAATGCAAACACATGAAGCCCATGTGATTCAAGAGCTTAATGTATTTATACAGGTGCTAGTTGGATCTCATTGTAGAGCTTTAACATGAGTCTCTTATTTTCCTATTAAATTTTGAGATGGGTACTATGTACAAAAGTTGAGGCCATTCTAAGAACATTTTCAATTTTTTTACTTTTTATACTTAATCCAGTGGGAGGACTAAAAAAATTAAATATTATTATTACTTAAATTTTGTCAGCTTTTTAATTTCTTTAGAAACTGATGAAATAAAAATGGGAGGACATATCTCTTGGTGTTATAAAAAATTTGACAGGAAATCAGAGGAGAACTAGAAATTAGAGCAGAGTCAAAAAGAGAGGGGTTTTTTCCTAATACAGAATACAGATGAACCAAGATTGATTTGATTATTAGTAGTAATAGTAAAATTGCAGTACAGTAAGAACTCAATACAGTAGAAACACACAGTATTAACGTACAGAGGCTGTACATGTATTTTTGTTGGTACAATACTGTGCTTTATACTCAGACACAGGAGATGATATGTTTATTTGTAAATAAGTATTTACAAATACACACAAATAATTACTTGAAGCTATGTAGATTCTGCAAATAAGTTAGGACAAAGCAATCTTCTTATATAATTGCCCTTCCCAAAAGCTGGTTAAACAAATATGTCTAGTTTCCTATTGTTTTGAAACTACACTTTGGTTAAGCCCTAATATTATAAGTTTGCCCTTAAAAGATAATGTCTCTCTAAGACAGCAAGCACAAAGTAAGATACAGAATGAACGCCCAGCCCAGTCTGCACAACAGGCTTGCAACCATGTTGTTAGAATAATTACATTTTGGCTGAACTAACTAATGAAGAAGACCTGCAGTACATCTAGCAAGACTGAAAACTTTTCAGGACTGGGTTGGGGTTTGGGGTTTTTTTATTTTTGCATGCAATTTAAAACAATGCCTCTTCTAGCTGCCAACAAACTCTTTCCCTGAATCTCCCCATTCCTGGCTTCCCTCCTAACCATGTCCTGGCTCACCTCCAGAGCTGCCAAGTTTATGCCAGAAGCAGGAGGTAGATTTGTATGGGGCTGGAGGAAGATCTGGAGCTCTGTTAAATTTTCAAGCCCAGATGGGGCAACATGATTTGTGTGTTTATGTCAGGATGCCATACATCACAAGTATCTGTGTGCTGACGTCAGCTTTGATTGAACATTAATGTGCTGAACGCTGCAAACTAGAAAATACATGATAGATACAAATCTATGGCAACAATGCCACATAAGCAAATGTCTGTTTGGTGTGGCGATTCACTGTGCGAGATATTTCCCAAGATGCACTGCATTAAGCCAGGGGAATATTTTTACACACTTTAAAAACAAAACCATAATCAGCAGACAAACAGACTACAATTGAAGAAAGCAAACCTATTAAGAAAAACTGAAGCCAACATTGACACACATATCATTAGGCAACTATTGCATTGCTGTCCCTCACTTTTAAATCTTTCCAGAATTAAGGCCAAATAGGAAAGATGCTATTGTGGTTTGCAGGACTGTTAATGGTGAGGATACCTTGCTGATGGCTGGCCATCTTTCTGTCCAGTTTTTGTAACCCATTTTTTATCCAAACCAGCAAGCAAAAACATTACTGGACAGCAAATTTTTCTTTAAATGGTAGAATATTTTTTTCTATACTGAGAATTAGGTTAGCTTCCAGAAATCATAATTTTGTTTATTTATGTACCAGTTTTGTTTTGCCTGCTAATACAAATAACATCCAGCAACCTGCTGAAGAACTGGAAAGATATGGTCATTTCTGGTCTATGGAAATGTAAAGATCCCTGGCTACTTCTGATTTATATTTATACCACCTTTATGTGGTTGCCCCTGTAGAATAATGTAACCAGAAGGTTCCATTAATATGTAGTATACTGGCTCTCTCTTCCTAGAAGAGGAAATGACTTGCAAGTCAGCTTTAGTATTTCAGTTGTGGATATAATAACAAAGCTTAGGGATTGATGGGTAGCCAGTGTTCTTTTAACTCAGATCACTCATGTTATTCCTCATAAAGGAAATTCTGTAGTGTAACACTATTTTATCATTATCCGTTATTAGACTTTGTAGGTAAAACTGAAGTTCCCTGATTCCATGGGGATAGATCATTTTGGCCTGTGCACAAGTACCGGCTTTGAAAAGAGACCAGTCCCCAGGATTTAATGCCATCTGGCCCATAAGGTGGGGAAGGGAGGAGGTGTATAGGTGCCATGGGATCTGAGGATTTAGGCCTTGTAGCCTGAGCAGATTGGTCTGTGCAGGCAGGCCACAACTTACTTTATGTAGTGGTCAACAAACAGAATTCAGATTATTCTTTGATGAGAGTAGGAAATGTTCAGCTTTCATGTCTGCTTTGTAGGCCTCTCTGGGACTAGGAAATAGACTGTCACTGAAACGTGGGTTCCTGAAAGCAATTGTACTAATCGCTATTTTAAGAAATGAACCTGTATGTCATTACAATGAATGGACTTTTCCAACTTACCAAGGGATGTTTCCCTTCTCTCTGCTCCTAATTACTTTACAAATTGTTAGTATCAAGTACTTTAACAGTATTTAAATTGGCATTTCATAAGAAGCATTGCTTGTATAGTTTATGAAAGAAGTGCAGAATGTACAAAATGCTTTAAAATTCATAAAAAATGCAAAACTGTAGCTTGGAGCTTCTTCATACTTGTAATGGGTATTTTGAGGTGTTTGATCTTGACACCCATGAATGTATGATGGGTATATCACCTACAGCCATCAAGAACAAAAGTATACCAGGTGTCCAGGCAGCTGCAAGATAACAACTTTTTATTTGAAAGTAGTATTTTGCTTTTTAGCACAGATTTGTATCTTTTTTTATTTCTCTTTTTTTTTTTTCTCATTAAATACTGACATCATCAAATCATTTAAGAACATTTAATCTGGAGTTACCTCTGAAGATCTCTGTTGTCACCTTTGAATGTTGCTTTCTGCTCCATAAAATTAAGTAAGGAAAACTGCACGGAAAACAGCTTATTTAAGGCACATGGCACTACATTGTTGCATGAGGCGTAAGGCATCACTTACCACAAATATATTGAGAAATTCTAATGCTACTTGAGACCTTAGATTCATATGTTGTGTAGAGAGAAAGTTTCAGAAAGAAAAATACTGGAGGACAGAAATGCTTTGGGTTTCCATGGTTTTGACTGATGACCAAAATGAATAATCATGTGGGTTATACCTGCTCAAAATCTTAGAGATATGCTTAAGTGTATCCAAACCCAAAGTTTTCAGAGCACAAACAAAAGTTGAGCATCTTGACTCCTAGTAGAAGTCAATGAGAGGTGCTGTAACCGCCATATAGCTTGTAAATATCTCTGATGTGAGCAAATGCTGATGTTCTGAAGATTTAGGAAAATATTAATTTTTTGCTGAGTTAGCCCTTTTATAGTTTCTCCTTGTCAAATATATGTTTTCTTTAGACCAAAATTTCAAGTCCTTTTTCTTAAAAAAATAAAAAAGCCCTCTAATGTAATTTCTAAGTATTGATGACCTATTTTTTCCCCACAGTTTGCCATTGAGAAGACCAAGGCTTACTCTCTGAACATTAATTACCTTTTTCATCACATAGGATGTGTATTTTGTTTCCATGTCTTACAGAATAAAGCAATTATGGAACGTGTAACAAACTTGTCAGATACGGTAGTTGGTCTTGAATCATTTATTGGCTCAGAGAGAGAAACCAATCCATTATACAAGGACTACCATGGTAAGTTCCATCTTTAGCAATGCAAAAAGTCTGCCCTAAGTGTTTCTAGGGCACTTAGTGGCTTACCCTCCAATTGGGTATCAGCTATAAAGTAGCATTTGATTTCATTTTAGAATAAACCTCTTAAATGTTTCTTCTTGCTAACCAGGCTTGAGTTAGGAAAATTTTCAGTAAAGTGCATTAAGGCTGCAAAGGAAACATGGCAACTCCTTGCATGTTGTCAAGCCATATTACGGAGGCATGGCTCAATCAGATGTACATCTCAACAGGCAGGCTTTGGGGAATTCACATGCAGAGGAACCTTGGCAATCATCTGACCAGCGAGATGAACCTGTCATGAAATCAATACTTTTGATTTGCCAAGTTTTAAATAGAGAACACAGGAAAACATATATTAAGGTGAATAAGCTGCTAAATGGTGTGCTGTATAAACTTGATCTAAAAATAATGTTCTGGTTTTCAGCTTTACGTTATGGCACACATTTAAAGAAATGGATATGCATATGTGTGACATGGAAAATACAAAACTAATTTTGTTACAAAATCATGTACACTTTCAAGTGATTTATCTTCAAAATGTGTAATGGTGTTTAATCTTGTTGTTTCCCAAAGACTATGTTAGCTGCTTCAGCAGAACTATTTAAATTTTCAAGGACTTGATTAGAAGTCATGCATAGCCAAAGCAGTGAATGAGAAACTATTTTAGCTAATCCAGAGCGGTGCTCCGAGGGTGCATAAATTACAGCTATTATTATTATGATACTACTGGAGTTCCATAGAAACCTTTAGTTGAAAGTAAACTGCTTATCCAAAACCTGCTGTAAACATGTGAGAATGTGGCAGTGTTTTCCATAGCGGCATACGCAGAAAAAGAAGCAAAGATGGTGTTGAGACACCACTGTGTGTATGCAGGCTGTAATTAATAAATCAGAGAAAAGTCTTTTTTACTCTGAAAACAGTGCACATCTCATTATCTGAAAAAAGGTGAACAAAAAAAGAAAGAAATGTGAACAAAAGCTAGAATAATTTTCCTCATTATTTTTCCAACTGTATAATGGTGCTGTGGCATTTGTTTATGCTAACATAATTCTGTCAATTTGATACTCCCTTTCTCAGGGAAAGGAAAAAATTCTTTAAGACAGTGCGTGTTTTAGCAGTTATTTCCTGGGCTCCTGTAAAACTGTATGCTAAATCATTTCTGGTACTACTAAATAAAAATGATAAGCCAATATACGTAGCTTTTGAGGTTAATGCAGCCGTAACTTAGCAGTCTAAAAAAGGTATTCTTGACAGTTTTAACTTTGTGGATTCCGTTTGCTTAAGAATATATTTTAAGATTATTTAATTACTGCAGATGGTGGAAGATTTTGACATTCAGTGGAAGCTTACTTAAATTATTGCATTATTTAATGAATCCTACACAAATAATTTTATTAAGCTGTCTGTAAATCTAAATGATTGGAAAGTCCATATAATAACAGAAGAATTATATAGGTGATTTTTAATTAAAATTTTTAGAATATTGTATATAAGCAACCTTGTGTTATACCTGGTATTTCTATACATAATAGTTCTATTTTGGACTCATGAGCCAAAGAAATAATTCTCCTGTGTTGCCAGACTGGAGACAGGGGTAGAAGGTTGCAAAGTATAAAAATATTTTTCTAATACTGTTGAGAATTTTTGTAATTTTTGTACCCATGAAAATGGTGCTTTTAAAATTATTTCTGTTTTAGGAAACTTTCTACCCTTATTCTTCTTTTAAAAATAAAAAAAATAAAGCTCCCAAAAAATACTTGCCTTACTTTAAATTAGGGTTTTAGTGCTTGGGGTTTTTCTCACAGCTGCCGTTTTCAAGTAAGTTGTCTTTTATAAATGTTCAGTATTTCCATTTAGATGGTAACTTTATGAATAGCAAATATAGGCCAGTAATTGAGAAGCCCTGTAGAATTTTCCTGGGTTTCAGATGTAGGAAATCACCCTTAGGTTGTTCAGAAACTATATTAGGCTGCACAAAAACCATCCAGCGTCCTTGTCAGAAAAAATCAGCTTGAGCTTTAGCTGACAGAATGCAGAGCTTGCAGTGCACCTAGTACTGTTAAAATCATCTGAACAGCTCTGTAAGCCTCCTGCACAAAGAAAATGTATTTCTCCAAGCATGGCATAGGGGTTAAAATTTCTCAAAAAGCAGGATCTGAATCAGTATTTTCCAGCAACTTGTTTTCAAGTTGTTTTCAGGGCGCAAAACGAAGTACTTCTCATTAGAGCTTCAGTGGTTATCACTAACCCATAAGCCTTGTTTTGCTGGCTGCTTACTGGTGCATTTAATAAAATAAAGATCACTCAGTGGTGCCGTGGGCAGCATGCAAGGTGATAGCCATATTTGCTTACTGTAAATAAAAGAGAAAATCACACACAAACCGGCTGTAGTTTTGACAAGTACTAAGATCGCTCTTTACATCTGTACTTCTGTACCAAAGTGCAATTAGTTTTCCTCGCAAAAGGATTTCTGTTTATCTTATTCTGCTTGATTACTTGAGTATAATCACACCGTTTGCTTCATTGCTCCTGGTAGTAAGCTCCAGTTTAAAAAGGGGAGGATGAGTGTGTAAATATACAGAATTCTGCTGTAGGACTAATTTATGCATCTAGATGACAGCGTTTTCTTAATTCTTTTTTCCTCCTTTACTCTTTTCTTTCCACCAGGTTTGGTTCATGTGCGTCAGATTCCTCGGCTTAATGGCTTGAGCTGTGATGTGTCAGACACGAAGGATCTTGCTTTTAGATTAAAAAGGAAGCTGTTCACCATTGAGGTAAGAGAAACAGTTTTGTTTCACTATTTAGAACCCAAAAGGTGGAGCTAATCCCATCTCTTATGTTTCATTTTGTGAAATGCATGAAATATGCATCAGATGTTGTAAATTCATTTCACTCTGGTTTTGCTGTTCAGAACAGCTTTATAAAATCCTGCAATATGACTTCTAATTAAAAATGTCTCATTTGCGGCACTAAATCAGTCTGTTATAAATAGTTTATTTGGCTTGAAAATGTACATAGAAAGTAGGCCACAACCTTCAATAACAAAGTGTGACATGTTTCTAAGGATGTCAGGAGCATATTTAATTAAATGTTAATGACTTGCTCTTACTTATGTTAGTGGGTGGGAAAGTAGCTACATGTTATTACCCCAGTAGAGGGATTTTAATGTATAATGCTGCCTAAAATTGTGTGTGGTATGAGGGATAAGTGTCCTTATCAGTATTCAGAAACCATTTTCTTTGCATTACTGAAATCACCTTTCGCTCTTTTATGTCATTTTAAACACAGTATCATTTACACTAATGTCCCTAAGTAAATTTCCTACTAAATTTAAACTTTTTTCTATGACCTTTATGCAGACAGTCCTGATAGAAGGCAGTAATACAAAAGATGTATTTCATTTTAATCTTGCTAAAGAGCAAATGAACATAGCACTATTAAGCAATTAGAGCTGATGTATTTATTAACCAAGTAATGGTTAGAGATGGAAGATGGCTTTCAGGGTGCTGTGATAGTCATTGGTACAGTCTGGGCAGATTTTTTTTAACAAAGACATAAAACAGCCAAGCATCCCTGACAAACCATTTTGTTTAATCTCTTTTCAGATGAAAAGCTCTTAAGCAGGCCGCTTGTCTTAACTGCTTGAAACCATAAAAAGAGAGAATTGCCACCAATAAATTAGCATATTTTTTACTCCATCACCAAATGATGGTCAATGTGGCTTGGCACTGCTTTGGTGTTTGGGACTTCACCCTTAAGTGACCACTTTGGCCCTTATTTGACCCTCTGCCCTTTTTAGCTGGCCACTTGATAAGGTAACTTAAGGGTTCTCTCTCTTCACTGCACCCTCCCCTTCACAATTGCAAGTAGCTCTAACCTATAAATCATTGAAAGGGCCCTATCAAGTGACAAATTAAGGTGCCCTCCTCCTAATTAATGGTCATCAATGTCTTTAATTATCTAATCCTATTGAGAGTAGTTAATAGTTAATCAGGTGGCCAGTTCTTCATGCAGGTCATCTCTGCATGAGTGCTAGAAGTTTCACAACTAGAGGTATCCTTTTCAGAAGCCACTTAAAGGCAAATACATGGAGGAGGACTTTTTTCCCAAAGACATTCCTTCATAATGTTTGCCACTGTCCAGGGAATGTGGTTAGTGAAACCAGTTAACCCATTTTGACAACTGCTTTTGAGCTGTACATTAGAAACAAATACCTTAATAGCATCTGTTTGGTTTTGAAATGCAAATGTTCTTAGTATTTTTAGAAGTGCAGAGAAGAGTGCACCCTCATTTCACAGCATAGTAAACTTCCATTTATTATGGCTATGAATTAGAATGTTTGGGGTTTTTTTCCTCCCTGAGTCCTGACTCAGAATATATTTTTTTTTCTGTCTGCTATGTTTGTGATTCCAATTTGTAATGTAATTTGGAAGGAAAAAAAACAAAACCAGAACCAAGCAAAAAATGACAAAACCTTTAGCAGGAGTCTCTGTAAAAAGCACGGAATTAGCGATGGGACAGAAGTGTTGGAAACGGGTGTAGCGGAACTCTTGAAACAACCTGTTGCCCTAGACATGCATGGATGACCTGCCTGTAAGATTTCTCCCTTCCTTGCTTAGCTCCATCCCCTTTAGAATAACTTCAGGTTTTGTCAGAGATGTGCTTTCTATAAGCTGCTGAACTAACACAAACTAGCCGGCAGGGTTAGTGTCCTACTGTGATCTTCCTGTACACATTTCAGTAATCTATAATATATATGTTTTTCTTCCTCATACTTTTAAGGGAGGCAGCTAGGCTGAGTAGTACAGTGAGGTCCATAAGAGAATGGGAGCAAGGGAAAACTGAATTAAGAAGGGATGTGAATAAGAGGGTCACACAACCAAACTCAAACTGCGGTTTGAGTGTGTTGTGTCAACAGTCAGGTTTGGTTCTGGTGGTAAAAACAAAGCAGCACAGCACTGTGTGTTGTATACGAGCAACAGTGTACTTCGTACAAAGTACAACTAAGTTGATGATTTCTTTAGTGTGTAGGTTAAACGTGAAGTAAAAATATATTTTGAGTATGTTATAGTTTTTTGAAAGCTTCTGCTTAGTTATATACACACTTTAGGGTGAAAATATTGACCTCTACTTGAAATGCCATTTTAAAAACAAATTATGTAAGAAAAGTTAGAAATATACAACCTGTGATTTATGGCAAAATTTCTCTAAAAAACTACATCATTCTTTTTTGACAGTTTAAAATAAGGGCATAGGACATGGATTTTCTCAGCTCTTGGGTTGCTTACCAGTTAAATCATTTTATGGTTTGCCCCTCATCTGTAAAACAACCTTGAATGTCAAATCCATTTTATTAGATTGCAGTTTTGTGAGAGGGACTCCTCCTCTTCATAGTCTGCAGAATCATTGAACTGTTGCAGGTTTTCCTCTATCTTTGTCATCAAAATGATATTGACTGAAATGTATTCTGAAGGGATTTTTTTTTAATTGAAGATTTTTTATTAATATTTATGAGTGTTCATTTTTCATTTGTAAATAATGTGGTAGACCCTTTCAAGGAAAACTTACATGTTTATCATAAAAGGTGCAGTAGCTCTATCAAGCTTTCCCAAATCTTCACACAGTAGTTACTAGTGTTATATTATTATATGGAATATTATCAGAGATCTGTCTTATGTGCATACCACTTTAAAGGATACAATTTTGAAGTTAGCCTGTCTAATCCTATTTCTTCCCACTTCGGAATCTTAATTAGAAGGAGATAAAAACCATCATTTGACTAAATTATTGTCTTGAATCTGTAGCAAAAGGTATAATCCGCAATTGGGCCAATTAGCGTACCCCATAGTTAGCTATGCTGAGGCAGGAAACTTGATTAGATCTGACACCAGCCTAGTTCCCACTGTTGTTTTGCCAGGTATGATGGTCAGACTTCAAAGGGCTTGAGGCATCAGCAGGGCAAGGTTTGGAGGCCAGCTTAGGTCCGGTCGTTAATCTCTCTGCTAAAACCACAGCAGCCCTCTCACAAAACAAGCTTACACGACACAATCATGCGGTATTAAAGTTTGGGTTGAGTCATGCCAATTTGCCTTTGATTTTCTGATGATTGACTAAAAGATGGCTACATGACTAGACACATACTGAAAGTTTACTGATTAGATAAGTTCCCCAAATATTTGAAATATTTTTTGATTTCTCAGTTAAATGATATGACAACCCATTCATCTTAATGAAACTTTTCAGCAGAATTGTTCTTGAAGTATTTTTTGCTTTGTTTATAACTCTGAATGTAACTTTCCTCAGCATTTGATAAATTTCACAGGGACGTTAGGTTCATAGTTTTATTTGATAGAACTTGGTCTTTGTTTTTCCAAAACGTACTGTATGAAAACTAAAGGAATCTGTGCCTAGGTTTGATTTTTTTCACTCCTCAAAATTTCTAAGGAAATATTGTTTGCCTTTGTTATTTACATATTTTTACAATTACCTGCAAAAAGGGAATTTCCTCTTAATTATTTTCCACCTTACTGTAGATTAAAGTGCTGTTCCAGGGCTGAGATTACATAAGTGTTCCTTTCTTTTTCAGTCTGATTTGTTGAAATATTGCAGTAACAGTGACATGTTTCCATTCTGAGAAGAGCCTAAGGCTGCTTTAGTATTATTCCAAATGATTGAAATTGCCATCTTGCTGACTTTCCCTTGGGCAGCTTAAGGCCTGTTTACTTTTGTATTTGTTTCACATGTTCCCTCTGAGTTTGGCTGGCAGGACGTCATTACCTGGTTTGACAAGACATTTGGAGAAGATTCATATTTGATTAACTCCCTTTGTTACTGGCTGATCAACATAACCTTTGACATTATGTATTTAAAGTTAAAACTTTGATAAATTCATATAAATGTTTGCAAATATGAAAATTTATGGGTTTAATTCCTTAGTTTTGTTTTACTGATAATTTTTTAAGTATTCAGGTAACAGTCAATTGGTTATAGTGAGGAAAATAAGCTTTTTCCTACAGGTTTTATAGTACAGTTTGTTTGTTGTGACTTTTTTATCAGAGAGCCAGATGTAAGTGTATGAGCCAGATGATATGATTTTCTTTTTAATGGTTGTATAGCACCTGTGCAAACCAGAATAGAAATCTTAAAAAACCAGCTCAATTTGAAACCAAGTGTCATATGCTATATAAAGAATTGCCACACAGCAAAAATAAGTTTCCAGAGCTTAATGTTTGAGCTCAGAAGATTCTTTTCTGAGAGGTGTTTCCTAATAGGAGAAGAAAGTCAGAATGAGAGGAGTCCTGTGGCAAGCAAGTTGTTGGTTTCTCAGTGGCAGGCAGATGCAATATGGTACTGTGGAGCACTCTGCAGTGCATTTTTGCTAGTGGTAATTGCCAGAGTAAAGGTTATGTCTTTGGAAGGAAACATAATCACAGAAGTCAGCAATTAGGTCTGTATAGAATTAAAGTAAATGTATGACTCCAAAGGCATTAAAATAACGTCCTTTCTTCATCCGTCAAAAAAAGACTATGAGGAAATTAATGATTGCCAAAATAAGCAAGATTTAATTGCAGCTCCAGACATTCATGTGTATGCTATGTGTCCAGCATTGGTACCTGGAAGGAGACTTAAAACTTTTCTTGTAAGATGGTGAATTTGGCAATTAAAACCAGGAAATATTTTAGGTAGCTTCCATCTGAATTCTCTGTATTTCTACTTTTGGGGTTTTTTTTAATGCCAGCTGTACTGAAATAAACTTAATTTTAAAGGAGAAGTG